TCCTCCTCAGTCTTCCTCCTCCTCCTCAGTCCTCTCCCCAGTCACCCTCCTCCTCATCCTCATCCTCCTTCTCATCCTCATCCTCCTCATCAGTCCTCCTTCTCCTTCTCAGCCCTCCTTCTCAGTCCTCCTCCTCTTCTTCCTGGTTCCTCCTCCTGGGTCCTCCTCCTCAGTCCTTCTCCTCTTCCTCCTCCTCAGTCTTCCTCCTCCTCCTCAGTCCTCTCCCCAGTCACCCTCCTCCTCATCCTCATCCTCCTTCTCATCCTCATCCTCCTCATCAGTCCTCCTTCTCCTTCTCAGCCCTCCTTCTCAGTCCTCCTCCTCCTCTTCTTCCTGGTTCCTCCTCCTGGGTCCTCCTTCTCCTCCTCAGTCCTCCTCCTCAGTCCTCCTCCTCTTCTTCCTCCTCCTGGGTCCTCCTGATCCTCCTCAGTCCTCTTCCTCCTTCTACTCCTCAGTCCTCCTCCTCAATCCTCCTCTTCCTCCTAAGTCCTCCCCTCCTCAGTCCTCCTCCTTCTCCTACTTCTTAGTCCTCCTCCTCATCATTCCTCTTCATCATTCCTCCTCCTCAGTCCTCCTTCTCCTCACCCTCCATCTCCCTTCTCCTCCTCATCCTCCTCATACACCTCCTCCCATATCCAAAAAATTTTTAATTTCCTACATTCTCAATTTTTTCGTTTTCTGTGGCCCACTTGCTTCGCTCGCATAAAAAGTCTTTGTATTCGCGCGTTTCAAAGATTTTTCATGGCGGATTCCAGATTCTCAATTTTACTTTTTTAGGGCCCGGAATGCTTTTTAATAGATAATCCTAGGTTACTTTTGGGGGCGAAGCCCCCGAAAATTTTGGAAATTTAAACTAGATTTGGCCTCCTGGAACGAATCTGACTATGGAGAACGATTTTAGCATACTATTTTCTGATTTCAATTTTTATTGGGATAAATTGTCTGGATTCTAGAATCCCTAAACACTTGGCTTAACTAAAGCACGAAATAGGAGACAGCATGAAGTATCAAGAGTTTATAATTTTGGCAAAAATGTTTTCTCATCTACTACCATCACTTTCTGCTTTCAAGCTATAAAATAATACAGGGTTAAGGGAATTTGGAGAAGGAAGCAAGTATGAGACTGAGGACATTTAAATAACGGTCCAGCAACTTTTAGTCTGCTCTTTCACTTAAATTCCTACTGAAATATGATCGAAAATTCTCAGAGTTGGCTCTCGAATTTCCTACTTTTTGTCAAAAATTTCCTACTTTTAAAAATTTCCTACATTCTTAGAATGCGAGAATGCGGGTTTTTGGATATGGGCTGACCTCCTTCTCCTCATCAGTCCTCCTCCTCACTCCTCAGTCCTTCCCCTCCTCTTCCTCCTCGTCCTTAGTCCTCTTTATTAGTCCTCATCAGTCCTCATCAGTCCACATCAGTCCTCCTCCTCCCCAGTCCTCCTCATGGGGCCTTTTCCTGGGTCCTCCTCCTGGGTCCTCCTCCTCTTGGGTCCTCCTCCTCTTGGGTCATCATCCTTCTCCTTAGTCCTCCTCCTCCTCAGTCCTCCTCCTCTTGAGTCCTTCTTCTCCTCCTCCTCCTATTCATTCCTCCTTCCCAGTTCTCCTTCTCAGTCTCACTCCTCCTCAGCCCCCTCCTCTTCATCCTCAGTCCCCCCTCCTCAGTCCCCCTCCTCCTCTTCCTCTCTTTCATCTCTCAATAATTTGTTCAATTTATAATTATTGTTGGTGATATTGTTTACATAATTTATTGTTAAGTTGTTATATACTAAAATGTTTTTAAACGCATTTGAGTCTGACTCAAAATGTGCTCAAGAATCTTTGTGTTTAACAAAGTTTTACTCTCCAGTAATAAAACTTTTCATCCCTTTTTATGTTATTAAAAAATGTGTAGACTATTCTTTGTACCTAATTGACGACTAAAAGTTTGAGAAAGGACCATGGTCATTAACCGGGCTACCCATTACTGCAGATAGCCTGTTACAAATTGTGGAGAAAATCTAAATAAAAAGTTACAATTTTTGTCCGTTTTTGTCCGTTTTTGTCCGTTTGGCAGCTATATTTTCAAAACGGACAAAAATTAACGGACAAAAACGGACAAAAACGGACAAAAAATAACATGATCCCCCCCCCATGGAGGGCTGTAACTTTATTGGCGGTTGCTACCATAATTTCGTTATAAAAATCACAATTTGGTTATAGAAATCAGATTTCAGGGTGGACCGTGATTCTCACTTTTCTTGCCCATGAAGTGAGTAAACTGTGCCACTATTTCATGGTCCACGGTGGATTGATTACTGGAGCAGTTGAAGATGCAAAGCCAAGACGTTCCCCAATACCAAGCGGTGGGCAGGAAATTAAGCTCCGGCTGACCTTCAGAGCAGTAGCCCCATTAGCGGACAAAATGAAAGTCTTGTTAAGACAACAATACAACTTCGAATTTGACGGTCAGCAGCAGGGGGATATCAATAATGATAATGGAGGGGACATTAGCGATAATGAGAATGAGAATACGCTTTAATGAAGATTTGACTTATTATTGCTATAGATTTATTTTCCTTTAAATACTAGACGTGTCTTTTTTTCTATTTCTGAGTAATATCAGTAACTGTAAATTGAAATAACTTCTTTAACAAGACGTAACAAAAACAGAAATGTCGGTTGAAAATTTGTTGACCTCTGAAAAAAAACTTGAAAGGTCGGCCACCGGTAAATACATGACCGGGATAATTTGGCGGGTTTTGGGAAATTCCGCCATATTTTTCCCGGTTATTAATTTTCCCAGTCATAAATTAACCCGCTATAATATTCCCGAGTAAGGTAGTTACTTTTTTAAAAGCGATTCCATAACTTTTCATCAATTTGATAATGGAATGTGCGAGTTAGTGAAACGATTTACATATTCGTAATGATATTATTTCATAATTGAATGCATGTACTTATGGTAGTTCGAGCGGATATGGCTGCTGGTAGGAGACCGGTCAAACGACCACATCCCCAGTAGGGTAATATTGTTATACTAAGAACTATTCTGGCCTCAATGATAATATAAATTGCCTATGGCACCTCACACCTGACCGGCGCCCCACCGGCAGCGGTATCCGCTCGAACTTCCTATAATACTTTAACATAGGAATTTGATGTAAATTTGGTTATAAAGACCTCGAATTTTGACGTATTTTTTCGAGGGATCACTCACAGTGTACTTTCTTGACAGATTTTTATTGAATTTAACAACACTGATTAGTGGGATTCTTTTATTTCGTATTTTATCTCGTATTTAACACCTAGGAGTTTTATGTAAATTCGGTTAAAGACCTCGTATTTTGACGTATTTTTATTCGAGAGGTCAAATACAGCATACTTTTTGACGGATTTTTATGAGAATTTAAATCATTGATTAGTGATAATCTTTAATATTAATCATTCAGAAATGTTAATAATAATAATATAAGTTTTTCATTCAGTTCTGGCCTCTTCAGTGATGTAACTTTAATCAACTTTTGGATATAGATACCAAATTTTTATATTGGTTGAAGATTGTTAAATGGGATGTTTCACGGCAAATTCTTCATATATATTATCTTTGTATCAGGTATGATTCAGGAGCGGAGTTTTTTTGGAAGAAGACTTCACTGTCATAGATTTAAATAAGAACTACACAGATATTGCACTGGCTGTTCACACATCAAAGCGTATAGAATACATCATTCGAAAGTACTTTTGCAACAGCAGAAGAGATAGCAAACGGAAGACACCCCTCGGATATCTTATAAAACAACAACTGAATTTTATAAAAAGTAGGCAGCCTCATATTTTGTTGAGTCTGCAGTCACTGGTGAAAAAAAGAAATGATCTTGTTCACAACTTCAGTGTAGACAGATTTGATAGCAGGGCAAGTCGAAAGGCATTCGTTGAATTGAGCAACATGGCCCTTGCTGGTCTCAAGGAAATTGCCCATTATTTTGGCCCAATTGATGGTCAGCATGAAATATTAATCTTCAATTCCCTCGGTAATAAAGTGATTGGAGATATTGTCATTAAAGATGAAGGTGGTTTTCATAATATGCAAGCTAGTGTTGAAGAAGACGGTATAAATATTGACAGACCTGAAAAGATAATAAAGAAACCTGGAAACAACGCCTCAGCAAAAGAATTGACGGCCTTTCACTGCTGGAATATGATCAAGATGGATTTAAGCTTGCAGGAATATATTTCTGAAGATGTTGATGGGCTGTTCGAGGGGTTACTGCCGATGAATCTGGAAGAGTATGTCTCCATGATCCCACGATAACCCTTTGGTACATGTTATCTGTTTTGTTATCTTTAAATTTGCAGTTTGCTTTATGATTGTTTCTATTTTAAAAACTGTATGATACTTTTGATTGAGTTTTCCAAATTATAATGTGTATGTTTTTAATTAATTAATTTTTTGATTGGACCCGATTATCATAGAATTATGTCAAGTTGACTGTTTATGCAGATCGCTTGCTCAGAGCTAAACTATTTAATTCATATTCATAATTCACTATGGTGCAACTGTCACTCGTATGAAATTAATTTTTTTAAAAATTACCTTAATAAAATTTACAGTAAGAAATGAATATGCATTGATCTAAAATAGGAAATTTACCTTTCAGACAGTTTAAATTTTTGCCCTCAACTATATTAGCCACTGAAATTAGGATTTCTTATTATAATCTAAAGCTCTAGAAGGGCTTTATACTTTATTTATAAGAAAGATTTGCAATCAGTTAGTTTTGCTCTCAGCAAGCGACATTTTTTGGAGTTGTGATTTATGAATTATATTAACTTTCTATTTTTGTTGTGATTAATGATATTCTTTTAATAGTGATCAAGAATTTCAATTGTGTTAAAACGGTACAACTCTCTAGACTCTAATATCCAATGATGTTTAAATATTAATTCAGAAATTTTAGGTTTTTCATTCAGTTCTGGCATCTTCAGTACATTTTAATTGATATTTTGATAATTACTTTAATTTATATGCTTTCAGGTAAGTGATGACATGGAAGAGTCATTTTTGCCTCTAGCAAAGATCTACATTTACAACCGTGAAACTGTAGAACCTTTGTGCGGGCAGCTAGAGAATCTCTCACTAGAACAAGACACAAGTTACTTTTGTACTGAAGTGTTGCTAACCAACGCTTACTTAATTGATACTGAACTTTGGGAGAAGTTTTGCAAACGTGAGGAGAGGCTTCTTTTGGAAGCAGCAGCTGAATCTCCAGATATTGTAGAGGAGGAAACCGTAGAAACAGATATTAAATCAGAAGAACTACTCATGACAGAGATGGGACTACCTAATAACTTTACCGGAAATATTAATGGCGGGAAGAAAAGAAAAAAGAAAAGGAGAAAGTCGAATAAGAAAGTTGACGATAATGCAGACCTTGACGTTTCTATGGACCAGCTGGTAGCTGGGGAAGGGATTCCTATTATGGATAATGATGCTAACATTGAGCAGATGACATGGGCGTCTTACTGGGAGACTCATGGACCAGATTTGATTTGGAGTAGCTGGCTCTCCGACCATCCTGAATATCGAAAGTTTAACAAACTTCACGAGGCTGAGCTAAAGGGCGGTGAGGATGCAGAAAATGAAAAAATCGAGAAGCTGCGATTAGAAGCTCAAAATATCTGGACAGACGAGAAGTTAAAAGAATGGGACAAGCATGTTTTAGATCAAGCTGATTTCTATTACAAGCAGTACAACAAGTGGAATTCTATCCTAAGCTCACCTGCTGGAGGTCTCGACAGTAAAGGGGAGAGTGATGTCCAGAAATCTGATATTGATGACGAAGTTAACGAAGCTGAAGTAGAAGAAGTTGAAGAAGACGATTTAGCAAAGGAGAATGATAAGTGTAATGACGAAGATGACAATATGGATAAAAGTTTGGTAAATTGCAGTACTCCGAAACCAAAACATGATTACAACGGAAAACTGACTTCTTCTCTGATTAAGAAGGGTTTTTCGCTCCATCCTGGTGAAAAACGGCCTTACAATTTCCAGTCTTGTTTTGTTGAAGATTACAATGCTCCTTTAAAAGTTCCCGTTCCTAAGAAGAAAAGGAAAAGGACGATAGAAAATAAACCAAAGTTGCACGTGTTCTTTGATAGTGACTGTGACGAGGATGATGTAAATGTAGATGAAAATCAAAAGTCATCCCTGGTTGATGAAAAACTCGAAGAAGTTAATGGCTACAATCATGAAGAGCTGCCAGAAGACAAAGTGTCTGATCCCGTCGTGGATGAAGACGTTAATGAAATATCTACCACCGATTCGACTAGCACTAAAAACCCTCTCGGACCTGCCTACAAAAAGTACTGGTCACAAAGATACAGGCTCTTTTCTCTTTTTGACGAAGGTATCAAAATGGACCTGGAATCCTGGCACAGTGTCACTCCAGAACGTATTGCACAGCACATAGCATACCGCATGACATGTGACGTGGTTATTGATGGGTTCTGTGGGGCAGGTGGTAATACTATCCAACTTGCCATGACTTGCCACCATGTCATTGCCATCGACATTGATCCTGTGAAGATAGAGCTGGCCAAGCACAATGCTGCAGTTTATGGTGTTGAAGATAGGATCGAGTTTATTGTTGGAGATTTCATGGAATTAGCCCCTACTTTGAAAGCAGATTGTGTGTTTCTCAGCCCTCCCTGGGGAGGACCTGAATACCTGAGACAAGATGTTTACTCTCTGCGTCACATGACCCCCCATGGTAAGGACATATTTGATGTCACATGTCAGATAACGGAGAATATTGCCTTGTTCTTACCTCGGAACGTTGACGCAGATGAAGTGATCTCTTTAGCACTGCCTGGTGCATCAGTCGAGATTGAGCAGAACTTTTTGAATAGGAGAGTGAAAACTGTTACTGCGTATTTTGGCGAACTTATCAGTGAATAAGATTTTATGTATGCTGTATTGGGCTGTCAAATTTTGACAATTATTTGAATTTTCCCCGAAAATCTGCTTTAACATTTTAATTTTATATTGAGCCGGCAATCTTGTTCATAAATTAAATTATTAGCCAGAAACGTTTAGATTCTTTTCGAAGAGTCACCTTCTCGATACATGTGTTCTATTTCTTTTACAATTTATAAGTTTTTGCCCGAACCCAGGATTTTACTGATATATATTCAAAGTTTGACGTTTCATTCTTTCATATTATAAAGTTTTGAAAACTCAGCAAAGTTGTAAAAGTTTCTCCGAAATAACGGAAGCCTAAAATTGTTCTTGGTTCAAAATTTCCAAACTTATTGTCATCTTCTAAGTTAGGCCATGATAATTGTGCAATTTATATATTAATATAAGACACATATTACCCTGAAGTAACATAACAAAGACTATATCATTAGGATGTACAGCACTCGACATGTCGCTAAATCTCTCTGCCAAAGATGTTCTAAAACTCTCACCCACCTCCGAACATTCCACTCCGTCTCAGAAGCTCGTAACTTTCACAGACAAATATCATCTTTAGATCCTCCTAACGCACAAACACGAGCAGAACTGACTTGGCTGGCATATCTCACCAGTTCAACAGACCTTAACATTCAAGAGACTATTAACAGTTTGCATGTTCATGGAGATAAAACAGCTGCCCTACAAATACTGTTGACACAGCCGTACCATCAGAGGAGCTGGGAGGAACTGAAAGAAGTTATAGGAGGGGTGATCAGGGAGGATCCTTCTGATAGCACTACTATTCTTACTGGGCTCATTACACAGTTCTCCTTGAGGTTGGCATATTTTATTTGTACCAGCTTTTATGGAATTTGATTCGACTGTAGGAAATGTGCTCTAGACATAGAGCACACATTAGAGCACACAAATGTGCTCTAATATTTAACATTAATATTTATATCGCCCAAGATAAATATTAATGAGCAATCTTAACCTTGACTGTTGCATTGATACTAGAAATAACAATTAAATCAATTAACAATAACAGGTTATATATAATATAACAATAATATAAACTTATAACATTTCCAGTGATATGCGCAACCAAAAGCGGCCGCCAGATCAGATAACAGAAATGCAAGAAAAGAAGCGAATACAACTGGAAAGTTTTCCTTTGTCCACTAATCTAGATAGAATAACTGTAGCTTACTACTGGATGAGAAATAATCGACTGGACTTAGCAAACAGGTTTGTATTACCATTAGGTTTATTGTTTGATAGATTATTAACAGTTCAACTACTACTGATACCGATTGTTGCTTCGGCAATTCAAATTTTTTTTTAAAGCGATAGTACTAAACTTGTCTTAGCAAATGAGTGTAAAATTGAAATTTGAGGCTGTAATCGGAAGATAATAACGACTTGAATTATACAAGCACAGTAAAGTAAGGTCTAAATCTACCTAATATTTGATTCACCTTAGCAAATTTGTGAATTTATGTCTAATCTAAATCTAACTGTACATTTTCAGCTGTTTCGAGGACATCACTCTAGTTGAAGAGCTAGACTGTTTCATTTTGTTGAAGGGTATTTCACTGTTACCCTTGAACGGCGCCTTCAACAAGAGGGTGGTGATAGATCTCATCAAATTCCCTGACATTCCAAAACTTGCTGCTAAATTAGCTCTCTTCCAACCAGCTAAATATGAAGGTATTTATGAAAATATCCGTTCATCTTTGTGCCATAATGTTAATTTTCAACTTTCTCGCACATTTATTCTAGTCAAATAAAACAATTTAAAAAATCAAACAATAGCACTCCTTTCAGTTATATCTGAGTTGCTGCTACGGAACAAAGACTGTGCTTCAGACCGTATCACTGAGTTTATTGAACATCTTTCTGGCATATGCGATTCTCCTGAGCAAATTCATGATATCATATGTCAATTGAAGGTAAGAATTAATAAACTATGATTAATAAAATTTACGGAAGCAAATTGTTATCTGTAAGTTTCGTCACAAATATAATTGCGAAGAAATTTCGCTCATTCTCACCAGTATGATAATACTCTAAATTTTAGCTTTTAACATCCAGTCTAAAATGACAATCTAACAGTAACAATATTCTCCAGTTACCCGAGGAGGAGATGGTACAAGTTTGTTTTAATCTCCACCAATCAGGAGCTGACCGCCTATTCTACACCGCATTTCTAACTCTCTCCAAGTCAGCTACACTCGACATTATCCCTCTCATATCTGGACAATCTTCCTCCTCCTCTCCTCAAACCCACATCGTCCACGCTATCTTAGCTTTCGTTCGACTCGGTATCAAGGACCTGATTCCGCTTCTCATCAACAAAGTTTCAGACCCCAGCTTTGCAAGTTTTATCAGGAACAACATCTCTAAAGATGGATGGATCATGGGAGTCTTGAATTTGAAGGATGTATCTTTTCAGTCAGCTGACTACAATGCTTTGATAACTCCACTATCAAGTAGCTGTATGGCACAACTTATAAAGAAATGTTGTGATGAAGGGACTCACCTAGATTTCATAAAACAGGCAATTGTAAACAGCTACGAATCTCAGACCCTGCACGAGGTGATGCTCTTCCTCCTGCAACAAGGTAGGAATCTATCTGCAGGTGACTATGTTGACGACTGTCTCATCCACACGTGTCCTTTCCTTTCGGGAGGTAAGATCCTGGCTCTGGTTAGACTCCTGGCAGATCACTCTATTGTTAACTCTTATCAACAGAAGTTCTGGATGATTGTGGCATACGACAAAAAGGAAGACTGCGAGGATCTTGCTGTTGATATTTTGAGGGAGCTTTACGGCGAACAAGACAATTCCGCGTATTTCTCTGTTCAAGATTTGAACAATTTGATTCAGTTGGTATCTTCAGAGCAGATCCGGAAAGAACTTCGTGGCAGAGCTGATAATATGGTATCAATAATAGAGGAATTCGAATTGTCGGTTTTGCAAAGGAAGAGTACCCCCAGACTTTTATTCGGTGGTGTTAATGGGACTATGTCTTTCCAACTACTAAAGGAGAACAACCTATTGTACAGAGTAGCTCAAACTTTTGGGGTTCACTCAGCAATAGCAACTTTGAAGACAGTGACTAAAGTTGGTAAGAATTGTAATGACTTGGTGGAGTTTATGAAACAAATTGAAGTGAACGAAGATCATGCCATGCTTAAATCATTACTCAAATATTACGGCTTTCTTCTGCCACCTCGGATGAAAATATACGGTGAAAAAAATCTACAAAAAGAACGTAAACTAAAGAAAGCATCTTACGACAGAGTGACTGAAATACAACTGTATTTGTATAGTTATTTAGCACACATGCCTTGTGATGAACATATCGTAACCATGTTAAAAGAAAGTCTCAATGACAATGAAATTGCCAATTTGTTAATGGTTCAACATGTTTTGAACCCCGTAAATCCAACTGAAGAGAATGACTCTGTGACAGCTCTGCTGAATTCGCCTCAATATTTTAAATGTCTTAATAAAAAAGATAGGAAACTTCTGTTGCACATTTCTTTGACAAATTCTGATGGAAGTCAAGTTGGACTACCAGTGGAGTCACAAGAAGAGGAGAACACTTCATTACATGAACAGAAAACAAGTTGATACGTCATTATAAGACCAGTTAATGCCGAGCAATCTATGTCCTTTAAATAGGCACCCTCTAGTCTGATTATACTTTTTGAATTATTGGTGCATTTTGGATTCCATTGACTTGTTGATTCCTTTTGCTACGTAGAGATGTGCTGAACTTTCTCTTGAAAGTTCAATTGTTTTATTGGTAATTGAACAATGAACAGTCACTTAAATTCTTCAAATTCTTAATATCTAATCTGGGGTGAAATGATTCTTTGACTGACAATTTAGAAATTTTCTACATTTGTCATAGGAATAATTGCGGTTTAAAACAAATTGTAATTAATAAATTGAGTAAATTGGTCTCGTTGAACACCGACTAAACCCTCTTTTTCTAATAAGATCCAGGAGAATATGACAGAGCACTCCTTATTCGGTAATTACAGGATAATCCTGGCCAGTACTTCACCACGACGTATAGAACTAATTAAACAGATTGGAATAAAAGCGGAAATAATCCCCTCTGACTTTGAAGAGAATCTCCCTAAATCTTCTTTCCCGACACCTGCAGATTATGTGATAGCCACTGCTGAAGGTAAAGCCTGCAAGGTTTTCAGTGAAAACACAGATGCTGTAGTTATTGGAGCCGATACAGTGGTTGTAATTGACAATAAGATCCTTGAGAAGCCGAGTGATGCGCAGTGTGCACACACCATGTTATCACGGTTAAGTGGGCGCATCCATCACCTGGTAACCGGAGTGTGTATCTGCTACCAGGACATCAAACACACATTCCACGTGCAGACGGAAGTTAAGTTAATTGATTTATCTCCTGATTTGATAGACTGGTATATTGGTACTGGGGAACCATTTGACAAGGCCGGAGGGTATGGAACTCGTGGAAAGGGCGCTATCTTAGTGGATAGGATAGCGGGATGTCCTTTCAGTATGATGGGATTACCACTTCAAAAGCTGCACAGTGAACTTTCACGTATCTTAGGTTGACTTGGAGAAATGTAGATTTTAATCAGATGCATGATTTTTAAATTATTATACCGAGGTATTCTTTTAGATTTATTATAATTTTGAAAAAGCATTTATCTAGTATATTGTTGTATGGGTATAATTGTATAATTGAGGTAGAACCTTTAGAATTAGGAAATAATTTTAAAGCTAATATTTATTATTTTTACAGTCTTTCTGTCTTTGATTAGCTAATTGATTTATTTCGTTTTCTACAGTAACCTAATAGTTTTAATCTAATGTAATATTATGTTTTCTCTCTATGAAGTATGAGATATTGTAGATCTTAGGTAAATCAGGGTTTTACTGAATTGACAATCTTTGGTTCAATTATTAACTTAGACTGAAAAAATTAGAATCTTTTCACAGTTGTCATAGATTTAAAACACAAATTGCAATAATTCGTTATTAAGCAAATTGCTCTCATTAAGCACCGACTGATGCATATAATTTATCTTATTAGATCAGGAAGATGGCAACAGATTCCTTATTTGGTAATTACAGGATAATCCTGGCTAGTGCCTCACCACGACGCAAGGAACTTCTACAACAGATCGGACTTAAAGCGGAAATAATCCCTTCTAAATTTGAGGAAAATCTCCCTAAATCCTCCTTCCCGACACCTGCAGATTATGTTATAGCCACAGCTAAAGGTAAAGCATGTGAGGTTTTCGGTAAGAACAAAGACGCTATAGTTATCGGAGCTGATACAGTGGTTGTTATTGACAATAAAATCCTTGAGAAGCCGAGTGATGCGCAGTGCGCGCACACCATGTTATCAGAGTTGAGTGGGCGTGTCCACCACGTGCTAACTGGAGTGTGTATCTGTTACCAGGACATCAAACACACATTCCACGTGCAGACGGAAGTACAGTTTACAGAGTTATCTCCTGACCTGATAGACTGGTATGTGGGTACAGAGGAACCGTTTGATAAGGCGGGAGGGTATGGAATACAAGGCAAGGGAGCTATCTTGGTGGATAGGATAGCAGGGTGTTATTTTAATGTTGTTGGATTACCACTTCAGAAACTGCACAGTGAACTTTCACACATCTTAGGTTGACTTTATAGCAATGTACTTATGTAGTTTTTAATGAGCTTTTAGAAATATTACGTTTAGGCAACTCTTTTACAGTTTTAGAAGATTAATTATATTTATAAAGTAGTTAAATACAGCATAGTAGTCATAAAAAAAGTCGTTATTTACGTATCGAAGAATTGTCAGAAGATATTTTGAAAATTCGTTTTTAGTCTTAGTCTGCATTAACCGCTTTTTGATTAGATTATTAAATGATATTATTTTTACAGTTACCTAATAGTTTTATTTGAATTTAATAACATGTTGTCTCTTTATGATAGTATTGGTTCTATAATCGGTATTCAATTCGTCTAAATTAATAAGGTTTAACCTGTACTAATTGTAACCGTTCAAACTTCAAGCGAAATATTTCATGTCTAATTACTTTAAATATTTAAAAATCTATAACGATTTGTTCTCATCGCATTGATTATATTCGATTATAAATGGCCTGCAACAGTGCACAACAAATTCATAACGTCATAACACTTATCTTAGTGATTAGGATATCAATTGTTTTCTTGATATCATATTTCAATTCTCGGTGATGTATTGAGTAGACTGTATCATGCCATTGACATTTGTTTGCATGTTCATGTTGTACTACTTCCATTCTATAATACCATGACCATCCAACTGATGATTTAATGATTTCAGCCGAAAATATTCTGTAGCATCTTAACCATTACACTTACTTTTATACCTGTGGAATCGTTACAACTTCACAATGGCCTCAGCTTTGCAGCTTGTGCTCAATTAAATGTCCATGTTTGTCCACACTCCACAGTCCACAGGTACATAGTCTCAACCCTGATTTTACAACATTGACACAATATAACTTAAATAAGTATTTCAATTTATTTTGCAGGTTTTGTAGCAATGGTAGATTAAGTCCCAATGAATTTTTGACTTCAATTGGAGAACTATTACAGGTGTATTAAAGGTTTTAAAGGTAGTGGGTAAAGTTACAATTAATATAATGTATTATGACTATCTAATTTTGCAGGTAGCGTAGCAATGGCAGCACCACAGGTGCAAGTCCCGAACGATTTTGGGCGACACCGCATCAACTCCAAAACCCGTGACAGTGACATGACACTTAACCTGAAAGGTGGGGGTGAAATTAAAGTCAATTCCCACATTCTATCTCTCAATAGTCCTGTGATTGAGCAACTCATTTCTACCCTCGAAATAACCAGTCTTGATGTTGATGACTTTGAAGAATTAGCAGTTAGGTGTTTTGTGGATTGTGTTTACTCAGGTGGTATTGACTTGTTAGGAATGAGGGTTTTTAGGGACGTTATTGGGATGGCTCATTTTTTTGAAGTTGAGTGGCTCGCAGGAAGATGTGAGGGCTACTTCACTGAATGTCTCGCAAAATCTGAAACTTCTGATTTTGACGAGATTTTAATTTTAGTAAAAGATGCATGGTTTGTTCATGAAATTTTAAAGAAAGATAGCATATGGACTTTAGTCATTGAGACTATTCGCTATCTCGGACTAAAGGAAAAGATTATAACACACTTCATTTTCTCCACAGAAGCTTTAGAAGCTGTTCCTACGACAACAATAGACAAGCTGGTATCTATTGCTGGTGTACATGGTAAAACGTGGTATATAGTTTTATTGCAGAATCTCAACAAATCTCAGGCCCTCTCAAGCAATGCCAAATATTTATTGCAAAAATTGGACTTGGCGAGGTGCATGAGCACCGACAAAGAATTTTACTGCGAGTTTTTTAGCCGACTTATCAGTTTGAATAGCCCTTCTATTGAAGATTTCAAGTTAATTTCGAAATTGCAGTACGACACAGTGCATTTTAATAAAGACTTACGTTTTCCTTACGTTTTTCCTGGTTTCGATTTCGATACAAAAAAATACGATGCTAACGTTTTATTCCGTCCTCTTGACTTGATTTTTGCTGAAAGCTTTGAAATCTTTCATACTAAAATGACAAATAAAGCAGTCGTCATAAGTTTGTATAATTATTTTGACCATTTTTTTACTTGGTTAGAGAGTCATCAAGCTAACGTTGAAAGTTGGTCAGAAAGCTGGACTAAATCAATATGTGAACTTGCTGAAAGTCGTCGCTGGAGTCCAGTCGCTGAAGAATACATACAATCTTGGGGACTGCCAGAACAGTTCTCCTGGAGGTTATTAAAAATAGAGTGTGTTCAATTCCACAAATGAGTGATAGTTGGAAATATGGTCTCTGTGGACTGAACGGTTTTGATGTCGTCCGTAACCAACATGAACGACATACTTTTCAGAGAAGAAGATGGACGAGTAAAAAGAATAATTTAATGTACGCCAGAGAATTTATAACAACTTCACCTGTTGCAGATCCGGAGGACCCAAATTGTATACAAGTCCGAGCCGTGCACAGAGGAAATTGGCATGTGAGTGTCAATCATGTTGGTTATAGACGAGACCAAACACATCATGTTGACGGATCTGAATTTAATAGTCCCAGCAAGATCAAGAGTAGAAAAATCGACGAAGCTACTGGACAAAGTGTCAGTGAGCCTTCCCGAGCATGGTCCGAAGATGAGATAATACCAGTTCCAAGGAAAGCATGTCTTCAAAAACTGGTTAAACGCCCAGATATTTTTGGTGGAGGTGACGTTTGGAAAATGCTTGGTCATAATGGTATTTTACTAACTGAAAAATCATATATTTCTTTAATTCGTTATGATTGAAAATATTTATCATTCAAGTATCTTCTTTTCCTACTTATTATTGTCACTTATTTGATGACCGCATATTAGAGAACAGAATTCTCCAGCCCATCAAGGAATTACAGTTCGAGATGGAGTAACCCATTTGAACTGTTTAAGATCTGATTTGGATAGCTTTTATTAAGATGGTAAATTACTTTTAAGTAATTTACTATAACTGCTCAGTGCTCAATACAACAATGTTTTTATTTTGCAAAAATTTGATAATTAATCTGATGACATTGTTTATTTGTATCATAGTGTAATTAATAATGCAGCTCTTTTTAGAGATAAATAAGCTTACAATGAAATAGGTTTCACAACTTTTCATTGAATTCAAATTGTTTGTATCATTTCAGTAAATTAAATTCATTTTCTTTTATTTCAAATAATGTAGTCAAACCTTAACATATCTTCGAATAAAAATATACGTCTTCACAGGCAACTGTTGCATTAGGAGTTCCGGTGAATCAGGTTTTTGCTGTATAGACATTTTCAACGATTTAATTGATAAGTCAATCTTGCTTGTTGGAGTCCATTACTATTTCTAACTTTTTTATTATACAGATATCGATAATTGACTTATATAATTAGGTCCGATCATTTTTTCTTCTTAAATGATCTAGCTTTGAGGGACTTTAAAATGTGAATTTCTAAAGTTATTAACAACTATTAAGTTTTTAACTTTTATTATAACTGCATGCGCGTCTTTAGTTTGATGTATACAGTGTCAAGTGTGTATATCTTATGTATGTCTTATCTTATGTATATTGTATATCTTTTGTATGTCTTATGTATGCGATGTCTTTCATTGTTTCCGTTCACGACGGGACAATTATCCAATTGTACACTATTTGACACACTTTTTGACTTTAGTTCCAAGTTAAAGTGGTGAGAAATTCAACAATATCATTGACCCATGATACCAATAATAAAGTAATCATTCAATAATTGTATGTCTTTGTTTAGTTAACCCTTTTTTCGGTAATTAATTGCAATGAAATAATCTTCTTCCATAGGTAACGAAGCAATGGCAGCCCCACTGGTGCAGGTACCGATGGATTTTGGACGACACCACATCGGATCTAGAACACACAGTAACATGACTCTCAACTTGAAGGGTGGTGGAGCAATGAAAGTCAGTTCACTCATCCTTTCTTTCAATAGTCCTGTGATTGAACAACTCGTTTCTACCCTGGAAATAACTAGTCTTGATGTTGATGATTTTGAGGAATTAGCAGTTAGGTGTTTTTTGGATTGTGTTTACTCTGGTGGTATTGATTTGTTAGGAATGAGGGTTTTTAGGGACGTTAATAAGATGGCTCATGTGTTTGAAGTAGAGTGGCTTGTGGGAAGATGTGAGGGCTACTTCACCCAGGGTTTATCAAGATACGAGAGTTTAGACCTAGATGAGATGCTCTTATTCGTGGATGAATCATGGTACATGAAAAAGGTCCTGAAAAAGGACAAGTTTTGGAATCTCATCAGAGAAATCGTTTACTACGTTGGACTGTTCGACATGGTCATTTTGAATTATACCGTAGATTTCAACACCATTCTATTATCGACACTGGATATGATCATTTCACTTGCTGGAAATCGCAATTCTTCTCTATTAAAGTTACTTCTGAAAAGTTTAACTGACTCTCAAACCCTTTCTAGCATTGCCAAATATTTGCTGCAAAGATTGGACTTAGTGCAGTGCATGCATACTGACAAGAACTTATATTTAGATTTGTTCAGTAACCTTAATGAATTAGAAGAATTGACACATGAAGATCTGAAGATGATATCAAAATTGCAAATGGAAACTTTGAGATTAAGTCAAGAATTTCAGGCAACTCACATTACTCAGGAATTACAAGAATTTGGAACTATTGGATCGTATCTGTTTCGCCCTCTTGAATCGATTGAAGCGGATAATTTTTATGATCTTCATGCTCATTTATCCAATAAAGCTTCGGTAAAGAATTTGTACATTTATTTAGACTACTTATTTACTTGGTTAGAAACTTATCAAGCTTATATTGATGCCTGGTCAGAAAGTTGGACGAGGTCAATCAGCCAATTAGCTGTAGCTCGTATCTGGAATGCTGTGTCTGGTGAATACATACAGTCGTGGGGACTCCCCGAGGAAATACTGGATCTTCTTCAAGATGATCTGTGCTCATGCCCCGAAATTGTTGACAATGAGAAAAATGGTAAATTGTGTAAACATGCCTTCGTTATAAGAGACATTGTCTTGAATCGTAAAGCAACCCATGTTTTCACAAAAGTTTTGGGAGAGAACGCAGAAAAAGAGCCCATTTATTCAACAACTAGCATAGAAACATTGCCTCTTGAAAATGATTTTAAATGCACGCAAATAAACTACCGTGTAAAAAAAGCCTGGGATGATGATGATGAAGAAATCGAAAATGCACAAAAATCGTGCCATGTTTGCGTCTCTGCGATTAAAAATCACAAGGTCAAAGATTTATCGTTCAGCTTTAACACTTTTCGCAGACCTTCCAAATTATCAAGAAGAGCAAGCTTTTGTGAATTGATTAAGTGCCCCGATCTGTCTGGTGATGGTAATTCTTGGACACTCCGTGGTCTCGAAGATAAAATAATAGCTGAAGATTCGTGGCTGGATCTTGTTTTGTATTCTTGATCAGAAATTGAAGGAACTGCTGAAAGGTTTAATTAGTTAGGTACTGATTTATTTGTATCTTTAGCATGTACCAGTTTCTTGAAAATTTAGACTTTTCTTC